AGAGTTTTTGCTTAATTTACAGTCTGAGTGTAGTATTAGAAATTCTTTATTTTGGATTTCTTGTCTCCTAAGTATTTTTCTCTGTTCTTATAGATTCAGTTTTCCAACACTTCGTCATGTGTATGTAGTTGCCCTTACAAATGTTAGCCAGATAAATCTGTTCTAAAAACTGACATATTCTCAAGTAAGAAAATATTCATGTTTTAAGGGTGTGAGATGGCAAATTTAGATTTTGCACAGAGAAAAAATGTGCTGTCTTCCACACTAATAATTTTCCAAATGCCATCTCCTACTCTTGTTGGTTTCAGTCTTTTTCAATCCTTCTCAAACAGTCTCTACCTTATCTTCTCATCTACACAATGAAGGCTTAGAAAGGAGAAATTTACTCACAAGTGTGATCTGTGTAGTTCAGGAAGGATTTTTCCTGGCCTGTTACACCCTACAGAAACTCTGCTACATATCTTTAAGACCATGACAGTTTTTTCTTGCTTCTTGACCCGCTCAGTAATGTTTAAGTAAGAATCTTGATTTTATTTCTCTGGTATCGTGGTAATTTAAACTCTTTATACTTACTCATTCTATCTCAGTGTTTTTAGAGAAAGTGCAGAGGTTTTAGGAAGCTTCTAAGCGGTCAGGCTGGCTCCAGCTCTGGGTCCATCACAGCTGGAGTTGATCTAAGTTTGGGCTGCCTTGTCCTCTCCTCTATTGGCTCTGGCTCTGTGTTTCCATGTGTTTCCACCTTCTGCGCTGTGCTGGCACTGGCTCTTGTCTGATCCTTCTGTGAATTGCTCCTTGGAACAGATCTGGCTGAAAAGTTTTTTTGTTTCATTGTTCTTTTATTTTTTTTTTCTCTTCACTTTGGTGGGGTTAGCTTACAGACGAGCAGCCTCCCTGGGTTGGCTCCTGTGCACCTGCGTGGGTGTTAGTGCTGAGGCAAGGGAAAGAATGGGAAGCCTTGGTTGTAGATGAGGCACTGATGACCTGAATTCTTTGTGGGTTTGAGGTGCCATCAGATCCCAACTCCAGGCTGCAGTTCCACCTTTTCTCTGAGCTGATCTCCACACCCGCACCCATTCCCTGCCACTGTTCCCTCTGGGGCCAGCACTACTCTTTTGTGTAATTGCACTTTTCCAAATCACAGCAGAGCCCCTCTCCTTGCCCCCCAAAACCACAGCAGTTGCTTCAGCTGACAGAGCATGGAGCCGTGTAATGTTACTGCTGGCAGTGTAGGTGGAGCAAGAAAAGTAAATATTTTTTTTTAAAGCAAAAAAAGTACATGCCAGTCATTAAGCTGTGTAAAGTAACCGTGGAATTGCAGCTTGTGAAGTGCATGTATTTATATTTATTACATTTTACCAATGACCCAGCCTGTTTAGCCTTGACATGACTTTTAAGAAGACTGTTCTTGAATGGAAGATTGTTCTCCCTCTCCTCCTCCCACTCAAACCTCCCAGTTTAAGTCTCTTGGTAGCCACCTGTAAGTCCAATCCAATGGATTCCAGAAATCCATTAAGTGTTTTTACACATATATACATGTAATTTCATTTGTATTTACAGAGAAAATCAATAAAGCAATAGGGTTATGAAAAAAAAAAAATAACACATTTAACAGATTTTCATTGAAAAATAATTTAATATGGTTCCTTGAAGTGTGCAACTAAATTCATAGGGAAGGAATAGGCTGATGCTATTGGCCTAAATTGTGCCTGTTCCTTTAGCCTTTACACAGATGATGATCTGCTCCAAGATACCCATTCTGAAGTATCACAAAGCAGGGAATGACTAAAGGTAAATGGTAAGACTAGACAAGAGTTGCAATTACTGTGGAAATTGGAATTCATCTCACTTGGCTTAGTCTCTACAATACTGGTATCTAGCCTAAATGAATTGTTTCTAGGTCTTTTTCAAAGTGGGAGAAAGGGACAGACTTCTCCAGTGCTAGTTCCTCTTCTACTTCATGGGCAAACCAGGCAATATTGAAATGTGCTTTGGTGATACCTCTCTGTATGGATGGATGGATTTGATTATAAAGAAATTCTGCACAGTTAGCTTATACTAGACAGCTACTTTTAATTTCCTGAACTTTTATGAGCTATAAACTAAGATTGAAGCTCAATTATCATATGCACAAATTTTTAATCCCTTTAAGTGTGGAAAACCTTTATATGACTGTCAGCTTTTTTGTATTAGCTAACTGCAAATATTTCATCAACTTACTACTCTTTACACAGACAGAGCTACATCCATTTTAAAGTTCTGAATTTCTAAGAAATGTAGTGGTTTGAACGAGAAAGAAATTTTAAGCAAACATCAGAGAAAATATATAATCTTTGGGTTTTACATTAAAAAAGTATCTAAAGTAAAATAATGCTGGAAACTTTACTGTGTTTTGGCAATAGCTTGCTTATTGAACATAGAGTTATTTATTTAGTCCACTGAGTATGTTCATGAAACCTTAGTAAATTTTTGAAATAAAATTTGCAAGTAGCATAAAAATCTAGCTGGCTAATGACAGGATATTCTCTGCATAAGTGTGGTTAAAAATAAGAATTAAAAAAAAAAAAAAAATCCAGATTTTAAGGAGTAGTATCTCTGCATCGAAAGGGCAAGAGTCTAAATCTAAATGTAAGTGTAAAGGCTGGAAAAGATTGAACATATGTTATTTCCCACCAGCACAATATTAAATGCAATTATTTTCTTTCTGCTAGAATCTTGAATATATCTTGCAACACAACCTCAAAGAGTCCCCTGCTGCTGTTGATTATAGTGAATCCCACTTCCTGCCACCCAGTAAGTCTTTGCAATTTTCTCTTTTTCGCCACCCTGTGGAGATAAATAATGTATATTAATGTGGAAATATCAACAGTAAAATCTCTTAATATTCTCCACAAAATAAAACTTCTCTCTAAATCAAAGGATTTGTATCATTCATTAATTTTTTGAGCAAAAAAAAAGCAAGTTCCTTATGTAAAGGCTTTGAAAAGTTTGAATCTCACTCTTGGAAAACAAGTATGCCAAATACTGTATAGGAGAGAAATAAGTTTTTTCAAACTGAAAAAAGGGTTTGGTATAGTGTACTACATTTAAACCACAGATTTTAGTGTTTTCATTTCTCAGACTCATTAAATAGACCTTGACAAATCCCTGTTTCTCTTCCTTTGACCCAGAACCTTAGGAAGTATGTCAGAGAATTTAGTGCTGTTTTTCAGGAATTGCTCCCTGTGCTGAACACGAGTGTGGAGGATGTTCTGTAAAAGGTTCATCATGTGTAGCTGTGATAAAAGTGTGCATTCAAAACCTAGACATTGCTAATTCCACACTCAGCTCTCCCCGCTTTTGTATATTAAAAAAACACGACATGACAAATATCCTTTACAACTCTAGGCTGTAGAAAGGACAAGAAAAGCAAAGGCAGAAGCTATGGTGCCCTGAACACTGCTTTACAATCGAGGCTGATGTTTCAGTGCTTAAGTGGAAAATTGCCATCCTAAAGAAATGATTGCTTGCTGACTATACAAGTTGGGGATCTGGGGTGTGTGTGACCATATTGATTCTAAAGTGCTCTTTATTTTCTTAACATGCTTTTCCTTTTAATTCCAACTTCCAGGAACATCGACTCCTTTGATGAACACCGTAAACATTTCCTAAGTTAAGAGAAACCCCAACCCTATAATGCTAACCTTTCTATTGCTTAAATGAGAAAGCTAATTGAAAGAAATATTCAAGCCAGAAAATATGAACAATTTTAAATAAAAAATAATTTTAAAAAATGAAAGAACCTTCTCAGAACAGAACCCTTAGTCACCAACATTTCAGATGGCAGTCTGAGGAGTCTAACCACTCTGTATTATTAAAATACCATCAAATTAAAATAATGGCAAAATACTGAGACAGAGGCAAATTGTGTCCCCTGCTATGTGGTTGTGGCAGGCCAGCAGTCAAGGACCCAGACAGGAGTGTAATTTCTGTGGGAAGCAGGGGAGGGAGAAGGGAGGATACCTTTTGTGTTTCAGGGCTGGGGAATGTGGTACTAGAAAATGTGGGCAGTTGTGAGCTGCATTTTATTAGCTGGTTTGGTACTTGGCAATAATGCAGCACCAGTGCAGGCTGTTACTGACTCAGAGAGAAGCTGTTTCCTTCTTTTGTCCCCTTCTGCCCTACTAATAACAGCTGCTGGGAAGGTATTTTCCCCATACTGTTTTGTTGAAAGGTAGATAAATATTTTCAATTATCCCTTGCTGTTAGAGTGCAGTGTAAATAATTTGTGTTATGGTAAAAATCCACCTAAGGCAGGAAGACTGTTTGCTACTTTCAGCCCAAATTCTGTAAACATTTCTGTGCCTGTTTAGTTTTCACCATGTGAGCAGTATCCATTTGGGTGAAGTTAAGGATGGCTGTAGCTCCACATTGGAAACTTGACCTACTTTGCATATCATTATGCATGTAGCACAGTTTTAGTCCAAGAGAGTGTCCCGGAGATGGGAAGTCTGAGTTGCGGAAGAGTCCGTCGAGGAAATGAAATCTAGCCAACTAATATGAATTAAATATTTTTGTACTTTAGTGTAATATATTCATTCACAACTGGAGAAGTAGTAGGAATAACATAAGCATTAACAAAAAGTAGAATTTATTCAGTGGCTGAGGCAGAAACCAAAAGCAGCTTGGATGGTGGCGACGCACAGGTGATTTATGAGTGTCTTTTACGATGAGAACTGCAGATTTTGGAATTAGTTTACACTTTGCAAAGAGAATTTTGTTTATTTTGAAAATGGAGATATTCCAAGATTTCAAAAAATTTTAATGTCAAGTAAGGTATGCATTGTCTTACTTGTACCAGGATGTTATAATAGCAATACTTAAAAATCCTCCTATCGAATGTGATGCAGGATTTTAAGTGTGAATGCTGAAGCTCATTACTATCTATGAGTATTTGTATACATTATCTATTCCATTAACTTAGTTCCTGATGCTGCAGAAGTTTAGATGCCCAGAATTATACAGAGTGAATAAGTCTATTAGAGTAAATGGGACTCCTACAAATGTGTGAAGTGAAATGTGAGCGTGAAACAAGCAGGGCTGGGCCTTTTAATGGGGATCTAGTTTTGCATAAATATAATCAGTATGTGAGGAGTCTTTCATGAATTAAGTCCCCTACAGGCTCCCTCCAGGTATAGAAATAGGATAAGATGCAAAGTCCAAAAAGGGTAGGCCCCAGGTTTTTAGGGACTTACTTCCACATTTGCAGGCATTGAAGCAGATAGAGGCAGATATGGATCTGTCTAAATTGAGACAGGCATTCTTAGCATTTTTCTACTCAAGTGACTTGGTGTAAGTGACTTGTTCAGAAACACTCTGTAGGTTTGTAGCACAGCCAGGAATAGAACCCACATCTCCTGACTCACAGTTATAGACCAGACTTCTGCTCAAATTTGTGTGAAAACTTAATTGGCCATGTTTCTCTGTGAGGGGGAATTTATTAATATTGCTGCTACCTTTCAGTGTTTTGTCATTTTCCCAATATGATCTCATTCAATAAAGGTGTAGAGCTGAACGTGAGCTTTCTCTGAGTAGATGCAGAGCATCTGGTTTATACAAATGGTTTCCCACCAAAAAGGAAAACTTGGAACTGTAGATTTTTAATGCACAGATCTTGTGCTGTTGCAATGTTAAGAAGTCCTTGTTGTTATGAATGTGCATTATGAGTATATTGTACACAGTCCTGGTATGCAAATGTGTAGCATTCAGAGAAGTGAAATAATTCTGTGATATTATTATCTTTGTAAATTGCATCTTAAGAGTTTGTTGAGGACTTTACGATGGCAGTTTTCTATAGTCACAGCTATACAGCACAAAGTGTTTCTTTCATTATTAACAATAACTGAGCCAATGAAAATGCTTTTAAATATACACCAGACAAGCAGTTATCCAGCTCTTCCTTCTTACCATCCACAAACCATCTTTTAGCATCTTATAAACGAGCATGTAAAATAGCTTTGTAAACATCTGCTTTTCATTGTTAATTGTCAGGGAAAACTAGAGATTTAAATGCTTCTTTTGTAGCATTCCTTAATCCTATCAGAAAGGAGAGCTCTAGATGCTTCTCCTTTCTCACTGCAGATAGCTTCCTTAGGCTGGGGGCTTTCTTCTTTTTCCTTTTAATTTATTTTCTTTTTTGTAATATCGATAGTTTTCATTTACTTACAAACAGCTTGTTTCACATCTCAGTTTGAAAGGTCTTGCAGGTTCTAGTCTGTGTGGCAACTCAGTAAATTTAAATAAAATATACTGTGGAAGTATTGATTCCTGTATATAATGTGTTGAAAATCTAAATTTTTTTCTCATTACGATGTGCTCGGTATTTTCTTTCATATATAAACTATCAGGTCAGGTATTGTATCATATATATGCAATAAGAAAACAGAAGTATGTGTTCATACATAACATTAAAAATAATAAATAAAAACTCACACTGCTACAATACAATTATTATTTTTTTAGAAACACTGCCTTTATTTTGGTTAGCTTTTCTGTTCTAATAATCAAGTCATTAATGTCAGTTGAGTGTGTCTGGCAATGATTTACTTAAGGTAGCATTCATAACACACAGTAGCTGCATTATACAGGAAAAATAAATCTATTCATGTTACATTTCCTACCTTTAAAGCTTTTTAAAAATCTTGTATTATGGTCCTGGATTTGTAACATTTGACTTTTTGCTTCTTGCTCGCACAAAAGGAACATTGACGATTTAAAACTATTGCATGTTTTATATTTTGTGAACAGGAATAAATCTCTTTTTTTATGTTTTTTTTTTTCCCTGCTTTATTTGGAAAAAGATACTTTTTTCACTTAGAGTTTGAATGTTTCCGTAGCTTTTGTCATTTAATTTTGGTGTTGTGAAGTCAAAGTCTGCTTAACTAATTCCTCCAGCACAGTCATTATTTTAGAATAATTTAGATTTCTTCCCATTTTGTTAATTAAATAATAATTTAGGGGTACCATTACCTATTAATGTTTTTATTCCTTCTATTCAATATTTACTTCTAGAACTTCCTAAAAGAATTGTTACATGGACCTCAGCATCACTGCATGTAAAATTAATTGAAATGACATATTGTTGCAGTTTCTATGACAACCATATCATGATGCTGATGCTCTCAAAAATTTATAAACTACTATTTCAACTATGCTAATAGCACTGAGTAGAGCTAACATTTATTTACTTAATATTGTTATTAGAATCAAGCTTTAATACTTCATTAAAAAAAAAAGAAAAAGGTGTATGTCGGTATTTTTCGTTTGTCTGATGGGTTTTTGTGAAGGAATTCTGTCTTTCTGTGAGAACCTTTTTAAAATCTAACTCTGCTACGTTATTTTGACAAAGGGCTTATTCACTCAAAACAAAGAGAATGTATATCATCACTCACAAACTTTTAAACACGACATTGCAAAAGAACTCTTACAGTGCCATCCACGGCAAAAAGCAGTCTTGTTTTGCTAGTGGAATATTTAAAGCCAGTTTATTCCTATGTCTATTGTCCTAGATGCTAAACCTCAGATACTTGTGACATGAGAGTACTGATTCACTGGCATGACTTACATAAATAAAATCACAAGCTGAAATGTCTTTATGAGCAGTCACAGAGTTATAAACCCCCTAAAAATATTTACTTATTACTGCCTTGGTTTATTGTAAGTGGGAAATGTGAAGAGGCTTTGCCTGGTTACTTGAATATTTTTTTTTCCATATTAAATACATACCTTTAGTATAATCACGTTATTCCATCAATCTGCAGGCTTTTGAAAGTTAGCTGATTTTAACAGTTTGACAGGGAACTCTATTACTCAGGCAACACTCACGTTGGAATCAATGTGTGTTTTACTTGAGTAAAAAATTTAGGACCAATGTAAGATGCCTTATTCAAGTTACTTCATAATTATATAGATTGCAATGACTTAAAAAATAGTGAGCTTTGCTCTCCAAACATAGTAATTTTATTCAGTCTAACTTGCACTTATTAAAAAAGTGTGTTTTCTATTCAAAATGTGTGATTCTCATATATAAGACTTATTGATCATTGATCCAAATAGGAAATAAAACACCTTGATCTTTAAGTCATTTGTCTTAGGAAGATTCCAAAACAGTCCAATCACATTTGCTACACTTCAGTCTTAAATCTGATATTACCCTGGAAAAACGTTTCATATAATTGAACATATAATTGAATGTTCAAATATGTTGAGATCATGTCGCATTTCAGCTTTACCAGTATGAGTGCTTTCAGCAGTTTCTGCCCAACATTCCTGGTTTACTAAGCTATATTTAAACATGTTTTGAAAGATTTATACAGTGATTTGCTTCTTAGTCAACTTTGTTGCAAGAAGTTACTACTGCGTATTTGGGTAAGAATATGTGAAGTGCCCAAAGGAGGAGAGGAGGGAGGACATGGTGTGGGATATGCCATGATATTTACAAGCTCTAAATAAAACTGGACATCTTGAAACAACTCCCTACCCCAAAATATCTTCGTAGACATTTTAACCTCTTGTCTTGGTATTTTCTAAACTGTTAATCCTTTCCAGCATCATCATTTTGAGTGTCTTCATATGAAGCATGCACTTCACAGGCACAGGACTTGAGCTTCTGGATGAAACAACTGGCAGTGACACGAGCCTGCAAGATTAGGCCATATTGTCACAAATCCAAAAGAACATCTTGAAACCAGTGCAATTTGTAAGTGCACCATGGTAGTAATATAAAATACCAAATCATTGTCCTATCTTGAGGATTCCTTTTATTTCTGTTCATGTGGCATGTATATGTGGCTAAGTGGTAATACATTTATTTGCAGTGTGGGCCAGTCTCTAGATCAAAGACAACTTTGTTTATTCTAACCTTCAGGGTTGTTTTTCAATATTTTTGTTTGGTTTTATTTGGGTCTTTTTGGTTTTTTGTTTGGATTTTTTTTTTTTTTTTTAGTTATTTTAGTTATTTTGGTTTATCTCTTATAGTGCAACACATGTATTGGTGACGTAAAATATATGACGTTTGCGAGATAAAATCATAGATATACGAAACAAAAATAAACTGATGGAATAATTGCCATGTTACAGTAGAAAGCCTATACATGTTGTTGAATTCCAGCAGGTGCTGTCAGAATGGGACACTGCCAGTGAGAAAATAAAAGCACCGTGGTGTGCTGATAAGGGTTTGCAGTCATCATGTTTCAGCAAAGGCTTTTCTGTCACTTAGATTCTGGGGGAAGATCCTCAGCAACTTTCATGTTTACGCCACTGACCTAGAGTTTACTCTGGGCTGGAATATAAAATAGAGTTGCTGTGGGCTGTAAAGGGGTCCTGTAGCACGAGTCCCCTCTCAGCCCCTCTAATGTGTGTGCAGGTACAGCTCTACCTGACACAGATCTTCCTGTCCCCCCTCCTACCCGAGACAAGCTCTGCTATTCCCAGCTGAAGCTGGGAAAATTGGTATAATATGTGAGGCTACACAGGTGCATGCCTTAGTATGAGTGTGATAATTGCTCTAAACATCTCTGGCGTAGCTTTGGGTTGCTTCTGGAAAAGCACATTTAAAATCACCGTTAATCTTTTGTGTGTTAGTGGTGATTTATGGTCATCCTGCTCTACAGAGATGGGAGTTGAAAAATGATTAAGATGACAAACAGGCAAATCCAGCTGTTAGGTGAAATTCCCAGATTAGAAGGAGCAGATGCATTTCAGTGGAAATACTTGCACCTTCCACAGTCACGCTACTATTTTTCTACTTTAACTCCGTGCATGAAAAGCATCCGGTATCCAATCTTAAGGTGATTCCTAATCACAGACGAAGGTAATTGCCATTTTTTGGAAGTTGCTATTAGAGTTCTCATGATTCAAGTGTGAAGGTTACTCTGCCAGTGCAACTAGAAGGTAGGAGTTAAGGGACTTCAACCTTGCCGGTGCAGTCAGTGCTTTTCTGGATGCTGGGATGCCTTGACATGATTGATGCTTTCCAGTAGCTGGGATGCTTTCCACCAGCTGCTAAAAGCCTCCTGAGAGGAACCCCCTTCTGGGTTAAAGCTTTCTGTGAGAGGTAAGTGATGTGTTGTGCCCCTGTATAAATGGATCTGTCTCCTGCACTAGATCCATTTCCATAGCTTTCATGTGCCTGGAGCATGCCTTAGAAACTCATCGTGCTGAGCCTTGTCCACAACTTTTAGCAGTGTCACCCTAGGTAATGTCCATGGGTGGTGACAGCCTAGTCTTTCTTCTTTTCTTTTTTCCCATTCCCCTTCCATTAATATAAATATAACCAAAACCCCAGCCTCAAGCTTTAGGAAATCACCTAAAAGACTAGAGAAGGAAAATCTTCCAGGAAAGTCCAGGCAGTGCAACTGGCTTGATTTTGGCCGGGGAAGGAGGCGGAAAGAGGATGAGCAGAGGAGCCAGCGGTGCTCCCTGGCACACGCTCCGAGGGGACGCTGCCTTCCAGCAGGGGGGTCGGAGGGGATTTACAGGGAGCGGTGCCGGCGGGAGGAGCGGGCCGGGATGCGCTCTGCCCTACTCGCCCTCCGAGGAGCGCCCGGCCACGGCGAGACAAGCGAAGGCGGGAGAAAGTCTCGGGGCAGGGGGCTAAGGAAAACACCGGTGCGGCGCTTTCGCTTTGTGTATTCCCATCTCCTCAATTCTCCTGAAATTCGCCCCGTCTTTCTCCGGCCCCTGCGAGCGGGCGGGAGGCAGCGGCGTGCGCTGTCCCGGAGCCCCGGGCGCTGCGGGCTGCCCGCGGCGGAGCCCCGAGTGCCCCGTCCGCCCTGCGCGGGGTCCCCGCGGCCGCGGCGCGCTCGGCTGCCCCGGGAGCGCGGCGGGCGCTCGGTGCGGGGCCCGCGCCCGCCTCACGGTGGCGCGGTAAGCACATGGACAGCGCCGGGAGCGCGCTCCGCTCTGCCTTCCCTGGAATAACAGTCCCGGTAATGTCTCGGATAAATCAAACCGCTGCTACGGCGGCGCAGGCACGGGGGGTGCGCGATGCTCCGCGCCGGCGGAAGGTGTTTCAGCCTCCCCGGTCGGCGCGGAGCCCGGCGGCATCGGAGCGAGGGTCTGCGGCATCTCAAGAGCGCGGTCTCACCTGGGGTTAGTTTTCCCCCTCCCCCTCTCCGTCTCACTCCTCCCCCAGCCCCTCAGGAGAAGTTTGCAAAGAATGTGATGGAGAGCGTAAAGCGGCAGATGCCGACGTTAAGCTCCGGCTCGGTTCGGGCACCAGGAGCTGAGCCGCAGCCCCGAGCCGCCGCCCTCGTTAGCGCAGCAGCGCGCCCCTGGCACCCGGGGTACCCGTGGGGGGACAAACACAACGTAGAGTGATCTTACCTCCGAGCCGAGGGAGCAGCCTGCGAGGCAGCAGCGGGAGCAGCGCGGCTCCTGCCTCCCGCCCCGGCCGGTCCGTCCCCGCGCTCCGGCAGCGCCGCCGCGCCCGCCCCGCCGGGCTCCGCTCCCGCCGGGCTCCCCCCGCCCCCGGCGGGCAGTCCCCCGCCTCAGCCCCGCGCACATCCGCGAGCCAGGGGCACCGCTCCCAGGCAATCCTTGCCGGTGCAAATCCCCCGAGGCTTCTCTCCGCCAGAGCGTGGAACAAAATTGCCGGTTCCCCTGAGTTTTTGTCAGGCTGTGCTGGCGCTCGGGAGCAGGTAAGGCGGCTGCTGGCTGCCAGCGATCCCCGCTGCACTTGCAGCGAGCAGCAGGAGCCGGTGGGAGTGTGGTCTGCTCTTCATTAGGGAGGGGGGAACGGACCCTGGAGGTGATGCAGTGAAACACTTCTACTCCCTTGCATTGTGTTTGTCACAGACCACGGGCGCTCTCCTTTTACAACATTCACTTCAAGCATTCTCAAACCCAACCGGAATAAGTTCTGATCCTCCCCTTTAGTTTACATTGGGGTTGTCAAAGGATTAAATAAATGAAACTTTATTTGACCGTGGAGTTTACAGACCCTGGGATCCCTGGCGCTCTGGCCTTATTCTAATTCTATAGCGGTAATTACCCTTCGTTTCTTTAAGTGCAATAGATTTATTGCCTTAGAGACTATGCACAGTTTGATTGAATTATTCATTTTTTTTTTCTTTGGTGTAGACTGCATCTGGGGACTGATGTGACGTGTAGATTTTTTTTTCAGGAACAAAGGGAATGTGGAAATGAAAGAGAGAGGGAGAGAGAGGCTGGCAGATGTGATGAGATGCGGTGAAGGTGTATCCAGCTTGGCACTCCCACTCCTCTCTTCTCCTCTCATTGCAGCCCTGGGTGACTCTCAGGCTAACACAAACAGCTTTTCTTCCGCAGCCTGCCCTCTGTCACTGTAAGTACAACAGCCTTCTCTTATCAGCATGCAAATTCCAGCCACTCACTACCTTAGCCTGGTGTTTGCACTTTAGATTTACAGAAGGGACCTTTAAAATGAACTTTCCGAGACAGGAAGGGGTTTTCATGTCGAACTTGCTTTTATTTTCTTTGTAAAAGTTT